TGGCTCACACCGAACAGCAAGCTATAAAGGGCCCCAAAAATTACTAGTGTAAAACCATTCAAACGGGAAAACCAACGGTCTAATCTATATAAGAAACGAGAAACACTTATGAACCACATCAACAAAAGACAACTACTGAACATCAGATTCCTGACTTAGGACAGGTGCAAACAATTGCAGCAGGTTTAAACGTTTTAATGGTACCAAACCTTCACCCTTTTTCTGAAACAATAGTGTAACATCACAACATAGAAAGACACACTATAAAATATCAACTGAAATGGCTTAACTCAATCAAAGGACATAATAACACCAGTGAACTTACATTGAACAAATAAATTTGACCTATGATACAATGCAAATATAAAATAAATAAACTAAGGGAAGAATAATAACAGTAACATGTTATACCGCTATGAAATGTTTAACAATTTATTTTTTGCAAGATAATTTTTATTCAACAATAATATACAGCGCACTGTGAATCCAAAAAACTGATTTCGATATTTTTTTATGTCTTGCGTTAGTAAAACCAATTCAGAAGTGTTGCAGGCAAGCATAGCAAATTCTAGGAGAAACAAAAGTTATTTGCAAATATGTCTTCGTTCTTTCGTCTATGGTCTAATTTTTAATCCACTTATCGAGACAAAAATGAGGAGAGTTGAGTACTCTATAAGCTATAAAATTGATAAAACTGAGAATGGAAACGGGGAATGTGTCAAAGAGACAGCAGCCCGATCAAAGAACAGAAAACAGCCCAAGGCCACCAATTGGTCTTCAACACAGCGAGAAAACTCCGCAACCAGAGGTCCATCTTTACTTGCTTGTTCCAAGAAAAAAACTTGTGGTGGTTGTCATTAATTATATATAAGAGTGTCTTAACATATCAGTGAAGTTGTTTCACCATTTTGCTTTTATATCGCAAAAAGGATAGTGTATTTAAAACTTTTCACTTATTTCAATAGAATACCTTCATCGAAATAAGTTATTGCAACGGCAATAAAATTTTAACTTTTATCTACCTTTAATGTACGATATACCGTCGCTTTTAAAGTGGTTCTATGTCATTTAAAGTTTCAAACAAGATTGTACATGAATATAAGTTTTTCATTTTAAAGATCAAATGGTATACTGGAACATTCAACACACAGCTTCTTTTGGCGACGTTAGGAGGCGCGTACTTGAATTATATTATGAACAACATCAAAATCGTTAGTAAAAATCAGTAGCAGATTGTGAGGGGATTTAGGTGAATAGGGGTTCCATGAATATAAGTTTTTCAATTTTAAAGATCAAATGGTATACTGGAACATTCAACACACAGCTTCTTCTGACGACGTTAAGAGGCGCGTACTTGAATTATATTATGAACAACATCATAAGCGTTAGTAAAAATCAGAAGCAGATTGTGAGGGTGTTTAGGGGAAAAGAGGTTCCTCTTATAGATAGCCGTTAAAATTACTTGCCATATTAGGCCTCAAAGTTCAAGTTAAACATTTTGTACCCTCTTTTTTGGATAATCATGAATCCGCAACAGAATGAAGGTTTATAATAAAATTTTTAAATTAATTTTTGAGCGTATATGAATGCACAAGCATCGTTTTTTTTTCCAAGAACAATTTGACCTCAAACTGTTTTAACATTGCACGGTTTATCAATTATAAATTAAGCTTTTTTTTACATACAAATGTTCATATGAGAGAAAAAAAAAACGATAGAAAATCGAAACAAAAGTCTTACCGTTAGTTAGGACAGGTCATGACCATTATTAGATATTTAATTGATAGTTTATTGAAATAATTATTAGGACACTTAAATGTGGGTAATTGAGCGGGCAATTTAACGGTTATATTCTGATGTCGTGTTTGTAACCCGTGGGCATGTACATTCATCCATCTGAGTAACTGTTACAGATATGTTATGAAAATGGCTAATCTTTGACCACGGTACTTGTAACCATTTGTACATAAGTTTAAGAAATCTGCTAATATATGTCTTGCAGTCATTCGTTGACTGATAGTGAAAACACGTTTGGACTTTTGGTTTGATGTATGAACTGACTGATAGATTCAAAGATAAAGAAAAAAAAACAATGAGATGGTTAACAAAATGGCACCTTGTTTGTTTCTAAAATTGTTGAAAACAGTGTTCCAAAATTATATTTTAAAAAAGAGTAACTAATCCAAGAATTCAAATTTCGAACAACTTGCTAATTTGAGAATGGGCATTCGATTTGAATAGTTCACGAATGCGCGTAGCATGATCTTTTGCATTTACGTAAATAAAGTTAAAAATGCACGGAAATATACATCTTTTCGCGTTCTATCATCGTTTTGATAGCAAGATGTTTGACAATGTCTTGAGAAAACCTAAATGATATATGCCAGAGATGAGTGAAATTACAGGATTTCTTCCTCATTTTTCCACATGCGAAATTATCGGTTTTTATTTCAATAGGAAATCATTTCAGAGCAGGCAATGTAGTTTTAAATTGAATTAACGCTCAAAAATATTAACACGTACTGGCGTACTCACTTTTGATTCGAAAATATATAATCCGTTAGCATATAATCGTAAAAAAAATTGATATTATGAAATCGTGGTCCCCTTCAAAAATCCTGGATCCACCCCTCATTAAGATGGTGTTTTAAAAATACCATTATGCATCACGTATATATATATATATATATATAAACCCACATTCAAGCTAAAAAAGCCAAATTACAAAAAATATGAAAATACAATCAAGGTTACCTTCAAATGGATAGTATATATAGCCCTACACCTTTTCTAGCAATCTTAGCCTGCATGCTTATATTTTTGTGGTGATAAGAGGTGATGAGTTAACATTAAATGTAAACTGAAAAAAGGTTGTCATTTCTTTCAAGGAAATCTTATCTTTTTCACAAAAACTAGTTACGTTGAAATGAAATAATTATATCACCTGGGATTATCAAGTTCCTAGATTGTTATCATTTAAAAGTATTTAGGTCTCTAAATTACACTACAATGTGAATAGTTCCTCGTGGCAGATTAATGTTTGGTGTCATATTATTATAAGATATTTTAAATGCATTTACTATATATGAGTGAGGTAGATACTTTTCAAATTTGTTTGTGTACATGCACATAGTTAATATACACGAATATTATTTTTCGTTATAGAAGTTGTAATATTAGCATCAGTAGAAGAAGCGGAACATCGTGGAAAATGAATGTTTCTGTCATGTGAAGGAGGTGTTGAAGATGTAAATATCCTATTGTTCTATGTAGACTTAAATTTAATTCCAACCTTCACACATTGTTTTCCGCTATTGGATAAATGACAATCAATGAGTTTTAAAGCAGACTATGGAATACCATAGGCTTTCAACTTAAGAATAAACAAAGTCATAAATATATATGACAGACAGTCAAAGGCCATAGTCGGAGAGGTCCATAAGGACAGTAGCACTGAATATATCTGTTGCTACCAATGGCAAATCTGCAGTCTTCTATTATTTTTAAAAGAGCCATATTATATCAAAACCCCGGGCGGAATGAGGGGTGACATTTTACATTTAAAATGTTTAAAAGATTGTCCTACATGTCGTATATACATTATGGCCTTCTTTGAGAATTGTGAAACCATTTCCTAATTACCAAGGACGTATAACTAACATAATATAGTTACAAAATGTACGTCCTTGTAATTACTAACTGGTCTATAATTACCCACATACAACTGGCTATTCTTTTGTGTACGGGTAATACCTTGTGCCTCTTTAGCACTTAATAGTATATGGGGCTTGTTTTACAGGTTAATTAATAAACATGGCATGGTGTAGCCCAACTTCAGGCAATTCGATCGGTTCTTGTCAACGTATATGTATATCGGCGTTTATAGTGTTGCATACCATATATGCTGTCATATCTAGGTGTCTATATATATAAAGAACTTTGAATGTCGAATCGCTGTCTACAAAGACACTTTGCAAAAGTCTCCATTTATTCACATAAGGTACCTCTCAATTATGTGCAAATTAGGGTTTTATTGATTCCTTCAATATTCAATTTGTATGACAAAGAGAGGTCAATTTAATACTTTTTTTTAAATCAAAATATGTTCGGTACCTTTAGACAAACAAGCGTAAGTCTAATCTTTCTAGCATTTCAAGAATTTATGATCGGGTACCTACAGCTAGGTCCTATCAGACATGTATGTTTGTACAATGTCTCAAAGTTAACAAACCGGGCCGTTTTCAACCTACCCTCGGGGCTGGGAAACCTATCAGTGGAACACAGAGCCCTATCATTGGAGCCCGGAGTCCTATCAATGGAACCCGGAACTTCAAATATTGCTTAAAGATAGGAGCCTAGCTGAGTAGAGCTCTGTGCATGGCACATTCATGAGGATGGAGCCTGGAGCCCATGCAGAGCCTGTATATAATAATCCTCAAGAAATTTGCATTAAAAGACGACGAATACAGTTAGGGAATTTGTAGAAAGACAACACAAAAACAAAAGTACACTTACCTTTGCTTGTTAAATCTGCATTTTAGTAGATATATATATAGTATTATGTTATATTAAAATTCACCGTCCCATTTGCCAGGTATATTGTCGACAAACCAAAATAAAAACATTAAGTTTTGTGATATAACAATCAAATTGATCCTCTTTGTTTAATCCATAAGCAAACAACTTAACGATGTCTGTAACAAAGGCTTTTGTTTATTGATTTTCATGTAATTTTTACTATAAATTCACAGAATTCTATTTTTAATAGTATCAATAAAATTCCTCGCCTATTTATGTTTGTTCAATTATGAAAAGAATAAAAATATCTAAATTTAAGTAGTTTATTTGAATACACTTTGATAATATATCTAGATACACATCTTTTGTCGGTATTACATGTAAATACACAATTTCTTTTTAACCATGTGATTTTCTAAATATAGACAGTGAAATCCAATTTCTTTGTTTACATTTTATTTCTAACCAATCACTGAAGGGTTAACATTTTCACCGAACCATCTTGACGTCACTTCTTATGAGAATTTGTCATTAACAAACCAGATATCATGGATGGTAATATTCTTTACTTATAGCTGTTAGGTTTTGAACTTTCGATATTATTTACAATTCTATTCTTTGGAGATCTTCTAGTTTCACTTCTTTACTCCCTTTCATAGTTCCAGAGTCCAGTATTTAACGCTAATTTACTGTAATCGTTAATAAAGGCGGTATAGCCCTTCACACAGGTTTATATTATAAGACACTGGGTAAAGCTTTGCCTGTATTTCATAAAACCAGTAACCTATGTCTGTCATTTAAATTAATACAGCATCTTCGTGTACAAACATTAAGTATACTAGAAATTAAAAACAAATCAACAATCAATAAGACATATCAAGAATTGGACCTTCATTTACTTTATCGGTCTCAACCCATCAGACATCACTGTCATTTACAGTAGATCTACATGACCAAAAGTATTTTTCACATACATTTAATTGCTACAAAAGCACATCTTTCAAAATATATTTTGGAGGCATTTTTGGGTGGATTTTTACAAGCTAGGTGTTGAAAGACAGAATTGTCTAAATTAATTTTATATTTGATCATAGTTTTGTCTTCTCTGTTCTTGAACTGTGAACACATCTAATATTTTTGTACAATTTAATTTGATTGAAATATATAACATATTTCGTAACAAAAAATAATGCTTGTCTTTACATGCTTTATATCATCTGAAAAAAAAAATGCTCCACAACAACAATGCAATAAATAAACCTACATGTATGACAATAATGCTTCTATTGGTACCCAAAAAATCCAACCAGAAATAACCCAACATAAATTTTTGGAAAAATGTAGTTTTATATAAAATATGAAGTAAAAATCGCAAGTGACAAATTTATACTTATGGGCATGATAGCCGAATACTTTACATGTAGAGCTATACTTTAAATTTATACTTGGAAAGAAATATAATGTAAAAATTTTAGCTTCAGTTGTGACTTATTTTGATATTTGTATTTAGTGATAGTTGATAGTTTTTGGTCATCATAATAATCTGATGCATCATCATGTGCAACATAGTTAAGAAGTTGACACAGGCCTGGAAGAGGACCCACAAGTGAAATTTTTCTTCAGTATAAAAATATTTAGAGAATTTTATAGAGACAGAGTATTTAAATTGATGTGTTTTTTTTTATTATTTCAGATACCCTGTTCCAACTCAGAGTGAGTATGCAACTGTTCACAGCAGCATTCCAAAAAAAAAAAGGAATGAAAAAAGAGTGAAAAAGAATTTTATAAATTATATACAAAGAAATAAAATATTTTAGCCATGAGCATGATAGTACTTCATAAATCAACCATACTACATCTGTAAATGTTATAAGAGGAATACCACTATATACCTCACTCCTATTGCAAACCTACCTGGTTACCTAAATTATTCGTGTGAAAATTATAATTCTGACATCACATGAAACGATATTTAATTTCATACAGGATACATGATAATAATTATATGATGATGATAGATAAACAGAGGTGGATTTAGAAGTATCAGATATGATAAATGCATAGACTTTTTACAAGTACAAATGTACCGGTACATTGTATCACTCTAAATGTTGGCTTGCCAGGGGGCCCTCCTTTTTCAAAATCCTAGATCCGCACCTGATAAAGGGGCAAGTGTCAAATGAATAAGGTGCGTTTGTGTGCAATTTTAGTTAACTCATAATCATAATAATTAATGCACGTAAATAGAGATTTAGTGAGAAAAAGACCGTTTCATGTAATTATAGATTTGTCGATTGCAAACATATAAATTTGTTTTACAATAATCCCTGGTCTTGATTGTCAGAGTGGTTTTCCCTGACATCTTTAAGTAGGTTTAAACACATGCTTATGAAGTGGGGAAATGTTTATGAGCTATGAATGTCTGCAAGTACTTGCTTTGTAATTAGATATTTGTTTCTTTTAAATTTTATTGATTTGATCGATGTCTGGCACAAACTGTTGAGCACAATGAATCACAAATATTTGGCAACAATTGCAAAGCTTTGAAATTTTGGGGGATAGGACTGTAGGATTTCTAAATTGTTTTACAAATTTTAACGGGGAAAAATACTCCCTTAATATTGTTACATGTAAATAAATGTACCTCCTACTTAAAATTTCATAAGGTACATAGAAATAAGAAGATGTGGTATGAGGGCCAATGAGACAACTCTCCATCTAAGTCACAATGTGTAAAAAAAAAAACATAGGTTAAAGTACGACCTTCAACACAGAGCCCTTGGCTCACACCGAACAGCAAGCTATAAAGGGCCCCTAAATGACTAGTGTAAAACAATTCAAACAGGAAAACCAACGGTATAATCTACATGTTGTATATAAAAAAAACTAGAAACACTTATGAACCACATCAACAAACGATAACTACTGAACAACAGGCTCCTGACTTAGGACAGGTGCAAACAAATGCAGCTGGTTTAAATGTTTAACAAGTGCCAACCTTCAACTTAACCTGAAACAGTAGTGTAACATTACAACATAGAAAGACACACTATAAAATATCAATTGAGATGGCTTAACTTGATCAAAAAGACATATTAACAAAAACAAGTGAACATACACTGAACGAATAAATAATATCTATGACACAATATAAATACAATATTAATAAAAAAAAACGGGATGTAGAACAAATGAATGTATACCAATATTCTGAGTATAAATCTGATTATAGTAACCAAATTGTACTGTGCTTTTTTAGTTTACTACCAAACAGTTAGGGAGGTTGGCTACCAAGGCTGAAAAAGAACAAAAGAAAGAACAAGCAAAAGTTAAAAAGGTAACTTACTTTAACATATATACAGTTTTCAACTCTAGCCTGATTAAAATGGCAACACTACATCATGTACATGTACAATTTGTTTATTTTAAAAATGGAAATAATTCTCAAACATTTTTTTCTATACTCAAAATTTGAACACTGGTGAGAAATAAAAATGATGTTGGATCTGAGGACAATTGAATGATATGAAAAGAGGATAACCGGAATAACCAAAAATATTGGACACTACAACAAACCTTTCCAACCACCAACCTTCAATTTCTCCAAAAAGATGGATGTACAAACAAGAAAAAACAATGCCTGCACAGGTCAGCTCCAACAGTATGACCATTAACATGAAAAAGGAAATAAAGCGGTAATTTGGAAAGCAGAGTAAACATGACTTTCTATAGCTGGAAGCTGGCAAACCTCTGTTTGTTAAATTCTGCTGCTTAAGAAAAAAAAATCAAATGCAACTCATAAAGTCTCATCATGAAATTTACTGTAAATTGCATGCATTTGTTATTGCAAATTTTGTGGAATGGACTAAATACGAGATTAATTATTGCGATTTCAGGAAAATCTGCATACAGATATATGTAACAGATATAAGAATACAAGTTCTTATTATTGTGATACTCATTCAGGCATTAATAAAAACCTTGCAATAATTTCTGAATTTACAGTATTTGTGAGAGCTTATGAGTATTTCAAATCATCAGATCATTGAAAGAAACAATCTTTTTAACTATATGACAAGGATGGAACAATAGATATAAGAAGATGTGGTATGAGTGCCAATGAGACAACTCACCATCCAAGTCAAAATTTATAAAAGTAAACCATTATAGGTCAAAGTACGGTCTTCACCACGGCGCTTTGGCTCACACCTAACAGCAAGCTATAAAGGGCCCCAAAAGTTACTAGTGTAAAACCATTCAAACGGGAAAACCAACAGTCTAATCTATATAAAAAACGAGAACTACTGAACATCAGATTCCTGACTTAGGACAGGTGCAAACAATTGCAGCAGGTTTAAACGTTTTTATGGTACCAAATCTTCACCCTTATCTGAATCAATAGTGTAACATCACAACATAGAAAGACACACTATAAAATATCAATTGAAATGGCTTAACTCAATCAAAAGACATATTAACACCAGTGAACATACACTGAACAAATAAATTTAATCTATGATACAATGCAAATACAAAATAAATAAACTAAGGGAAGAATAATTAAAGTAACATGTTATACCGCTGTGAAATGTTAAACAATTTAAGAAAAACAACATGCTTGAACAAAAATATCAGCCATTTGCAATTACTTTAAACAAAGGTAAATGAAAATAATTGAAATACTTTTACAAAATAAATAATTTTGATGTTCATAGTACATGTAGTACAAAGAAGTGAAAATTTATAGTAATACCAAACACTTATCAAAGCTTGTATATAGACCAGATATAACCCTGAATAAGTAAACATTAAAAAACAAAATAGCATTACAATTAGTATCAACAGGTCAAATAAACAAGAAAGTACGATTTGAGAGTACTCACAGTTACTGACAGCTAGTTAAAAGCCAAAAACAATTAATAATAAAAAATCATGCATCAGAGACTATAATCAACTAAAACACATCCCAGGGATTTAGTATTTTAACGTCATGAACAGTCAAAGAAGACATGACTTGTGCAATGCCAAAAATAAATGTATCGACAGGCAGTAGGATAGTTAGGAGTTAACCTCTCTATAGATCAAAATGAATGTGGGTGTGTCTTTATACATCTTGTTTGAAAAGAATACAAATTTAGTTACGAGGTAATTTGCTGATGACAAAATCGATATTAGTGCCAATGTAAACTATATTCAAAGATCTAATTACAACATTGGTAAGATAACCTTTAGTAATAAGTTTGTTTAAAGGTTCGATGAGTTTACACGGATCACCGATCACATAGTGATTTCCGCGCTTTAAGTACAATATTACCGTAAAAATTAGGATGTGAAATACCGTTTTTAATCAGTTTTCTACAGGTACAGCCAAATTGCCTATTAACTATGTGTTGTACCTAAATCATGACCTTTTGTTACTACTTATATTCATATATACTTGGCAGTTATTTTTGTCCATTAAGAATTTTAATCAGATTCAGTTATTTGATCATCTTTCTCTATTATATTACTCACAATTTTAGAGACAGGAAAAATTAGAGCTTGCCATACTTTCGGTGTTGACGGCTATATGATGACTTCTATAGCAAATGTATAGCTAGTGTTTATGATAATGTTCATGCATTTTGCTCTCCTGAAAGTAAACTAACTGCCATGGTAATGAAACAAAGCTTACAAATTTAAGCCTCCACCTATAAATGTCTAGGCTGGTTACCTAGATTTTTTTACCAGAGTGATCATTTTACTGTTACCAGAATTATCTGTCTACTGAAACTTTAATACATCCAAAATGAATTTTAAGTCTCTTATCACAGGATGCGACAATTGATTGCAAGCATGACAACATTTTTATTCCTAGATGTATATTTAGATTTGAAAATCTTTTTTTTTTCTAGGCTATAGCACAAAAGAATATAGAAGGAGCTCGAATATATGCTGAAAATGCAATAAGAAAAAAGAATGAAGGTTTAAATTATTTACGAATGGCAGCACGAGTAGATGGAGTGAGCGCTAGAGTACAAACTGCATTAACAATGAAAGGGGTAAGTACTAGTAAGCCTTAATAATATAATCGCCTTTTAGAAGCTACCTATAAATATGATTTGAATCAGTTTAGATATTTCCATAAATAGGAAAATAACAAAAATACTGAACTCAAAGGAAAATTCAAAACGGTAAGTTCTTTATCAAATGGCAAAATCAAAAGCTCAAACACATTAAACGAATGAAAAACAACGGTCATATTCCTGACTTAGGAATTTGGTATAAATAATTTTGCACTGGATTTATGATTTAAGGTATCTAATTTGTTCCTTGTTGATTTCATAGCTGGAAGAAGTATACATATAAAGACTCAGGTGTATAGTTGTCTCTTTGGCAATCGTATCATATCTCTATATATTTTATAATGTAGAACAATAACAAAACTAATGCTAATGAAGATCAGAAATTAGATTTTTAGTTAAAAATGAATTGGAACATCATATTATGCGTACATTATGTATTTACCCTCCATGAACATCAAAAAGACTTGTACTGTTCAGCATAAAGAATATTAAAATATAAAAATGATACAGGTGGGGATCAAGGATTTTAAAAAGAAGGGGGGAGGGGGGCACTGGTTAGACAATGTTTGGTGTGGGACTTGAGAAAATCTATGTTTTAACCATTATAAATGTAGCATGTATCTCCAGATGTAGCCCTGTGACAACACCTATCATTGTATATTATGACAGAGAAGTGAAATTACATAATTTCTTTTACATACAAGTGAAATAATCAATTTTATTTGACTGGGAAATTGCAGAATTTCAATGCAACACATGTAATAATATCAATGACAGAATTGCACAAGCTGTAGGTTTATAACTTTTTATATTTTTATCAATCCAAGGTCATATTCATACTGTTATAAACTTTAAAAAATATTTAAAAGAGTAAATATATCAACAACTAAATAGATAAATAAATAGTTTGGTATGTAAAACCTTCTATAGGTGTGGTTGCAATTTAATACATATTCTACCATAATAAAAAAAAATATCAAATTATATTATTTTCATTGATGTAAAATTGTTTGGCAAATTCTTAACTTTTTCATTAATAGATCTCTACTTTATTTTGAACAGATTATGAAGAATATGGAAGGTGTAACAAAAGCATTAGATAAAGCCATGTCATCCATGGACTTGGAGAAGGTTTGTGTTTAAGGTTTATATAGCTGAAAAAATAAATGTCATAATTACAATTTATTTTATTAGTTTCTATCTACCTTGAGTATAGATATATATACTAATTTGTGCAGTTTAAATAATTTATGATTTAAACGAAATTTGAATGTTGATGTGGAATATTTGTTTTAATAAGCACACCAGTAGTATTACCCAAAGTGAATGCTAATATGCCTTAGTGTGAGGTTAGCAAAGAAGAAACATCTGTTTTATGTTGGAAATGCATTTTTTTAAAAATTGATATACATTACAGCTCGCATGGATTTTACCATTTCCACCCTCTATTGTAAGAGAAAGAAAAACCTTAAGATATTTCTGAGGGGGGACAAGCAATTTGTTTTTTAATCATACCAATTGCTTAAACATTACACTTTGAACGATTTATTTAAAAGATAAACCATTGTATTCAATCTATTAACAAAACTTTATGTTAAATTTCATTAGGCTTGGCAAGGTGGGCAAGTTGAAAAAGCAAACCCCCCCCTGAAGTGTAGTGTGTGATGATTAAAGGGAAATTTTGGAAATCTAACACACACAAAATTTAGGGAAACATTCATATCGTAATTATGACACGAAGTTTGGCAGAAAGATGGTTTTAGTTAACAGCAAGTAATTAAAGAGATTTCCAGGTATTGTGCTTTGGAAGAACTTACCATTATTTATGAATTGTGTTTGCTTTATGCCGCCTCAGCACAAAAAGGCTATATCACAGTGAGATTTTTTGTCGAGCCTGCGACTTTTGTCGCAAAAGCGAGACATAGCGATCCTACATTCTGTTGGCGGCAAAATATTTACTCTGTGGTTAAAGTTTTTGAAATTTTAATAACTTTCTTAAACTATCCTGGATTTCTACCAAGCTTGGACAGAAGCTTGTTTTTGATCATAAAATAGTATCCAGAGGTAAACTTTGTTAAAGAAAAATCCTGTTTTTCCGTGTTTTACTTATAATTGGACTTAGTTTTTCTGCCAGTTAACATTACATTCACTCTGTGGTTAAAGTTTTTAAAATTTTAATAACTTTCTTAAACTATCCTGGATTTGTACCAAAACCTTTGTTTATGATCAAAAGCTAGTATCTAGAAGGAAATTTTGTAAAAATATATATTTTCTGTTTTTCCGTATATTACTTTTAAATGGACTTAGTTTTTCTTCCAGTTAACATTACAAACAGTTTGTAGTTAAACATTTATTAGATTCATAAACCATTCTAGATTTTTACTAAACTTGGACAGAAGCTTCTTACAATCAAAAGATGGTATCTATAAGAAAATTTTTAATAATTTTTTCTCCATTTTTGTTGAGCCTGTGACTAGCAGCAAAAGTAGGGGAGACACTGGATTCCGCGGAACCCTTACAAATTTTTTAACAGGAGTTTACCAAATATAGATTAATATTTGTGAGAGAACTCAATATTTCTTTACCTAATAATGAATCAAAATTCAAATAATGAAGATTAATTGATAAATTAAATTTTGATTTGTTTTTAGGTAGAACAAGTAATGCAGAAATTTGAGAAACAGTTTGAAGATATAGATGTCAGAACTTCTGTAAGTGTTGATAAATAAATCTGTCTACTACCACCCAATCTGCTCTATAGTTTTAAACATGCTAATGCTCTTTACAGAGATTTTCTCAACTATAGCGTATTCACTCAAGCTATTATGATATGGGATATTTGATATTAATGAAGGAAAATGTGGAGTATATGTTATTGAGACAGTAGCCCAACATCACCAAAAACAGTCAATTACAGGTCAACATATGGTCAATAACAAAAGACAAGCATGTCAATCAGGGGTTCAAATTAACATTTGGTACTGGAAGGTCCAGGACCTTTGACACTCCAAACTGAAAGTTCCACAACCTAAATCCCAGGTCCTACTTTTACATGAAATATTTCATAACTCAATAAGATACAAAATTAATGGGCTTTTGGAGTAAGGTTAGTTTGTTTCATCATATTTGAACTGCATGTGATGTTTCATTTCTCATATAATGGGCTATCCAGCGAATAAACAGTTTACAACCTTCAATATTGAAGTACTGCTTACACATCAACACCATTTTTGCACTGGATTTCAAGAATAAATTCATAGTCACTGAAGGGTTTCCCTTTTTTAGCTCACCTGACCTGAAAGGTCAAGTGAGCTTTTCTCATCACTTTGCGTCCGTCGTCCTGCGTCCGTCGTCCGTAAACTTTTACAAAAATCTTCTCCTCTGAAACTACTGGGCCAAATTTAACCAAACTTGGCCACAATCATCATTGGGGTATCTAGATTAAAAAATGTTTCCGATGACCCCGCCAATTAACCAAGATGGCCGCCATGGCTAAAAATAGAACATAGCGGTAAAATGTAGATTTTGGCTTATATCTCTGAAACCAAAGCATTTAGAGCAAATCTGGGTTGCTGCCCCTGAATTGGTAATTTTAAGGAAATTTTGCCGTTTTTGGTTATTATCTTGAATATTATTATAGATAGAGATAAACTGTAAACAGCAATAATGTTCAGCAAAGTATGATCTACAAATAAGTCAACTTGACCAAAATGGTCAGTTGGTCCCTTAAGGAGTTATTGCCCTTTATAGTCAATTTTTAACCATTTTTTGTAAATTTTTGTAATCTTTTACAAAAATCTTCTCCTCTGAAACTACTAAGACAAATTTAACCAAAATTGTCCACAATCATCATTAGGGTATCTAGTTTAAAAAATGTGTCCGATGACCCTGCCCGCAAACCAAGATGGCCGACATGGCAAAAAAATAATACATAGGGTAAAATGCAGTTTTTGGCTCATATCTCTGAAACCAAAGCATTTAGAGCAAATCTGATGGTATAAAATTGTTCATTAGGTCAAGATCTATCTGCCCTGAAATTTTCAGACCAATCAGGCAACATGTTGTTGGGTTGCTGCCCCTGAATTGGTAATTTTAAGAAAATTATTATTATCTTGAATATTATTATAGATAGAGATAAACTGTAAGCAGCAATAATGTACAGCAAAGTTAGATCTACAAATAAGTCAACATGACCAAAATTGTCAATTGACCCCTTAAGGAGTTATTGCCCTTTTTGGTCAATTTTTTACAATTTTCATAAATTTTGTAAATTTTGGTAAATTTTTACAAAATATTTTCCACTGTAACTACTGGGCCAAGTTCATTATAGATAGAGATAATAGTAAGGAGCAAGAATGTTCAGTAAAGTAAGATCTACAAACACATCACCATCACCAAAACACAATTTTGTCATGAATCCATCTGTGTCCATTGTTTAATATGCACATAGACCAAGGTGAGCGACACAGGCTCTTTAGAGCCTTTAGTTGCAATATTGTATGCAGTGTTGAATAGAACCTTATATCTAGTTAACTGATCAGGCTTACATTGCTGCTTGAGAATACATTGTCCAAGTTTAGTGTCTGACAATTAATCTTTAGACTTAAAATTTGGGTCACTTTCATGGACCCACTGCTTTAAACAAGATAAATGCTGGGGTGTCACTTCGTATATTTTATTGGGTCTATTTTAAGATTTTGTGTTCCCCTTACAAGTGCACTTTCTTTTTCTGAATGGGTGGGGAACTTCTGGCAGTATGTGCATGACATTAGACCAGTTGATTCAACAAAATATAGCCACGGTTCGATCGATTTTCCAGTGGGGCTTAAATGTCCGTTGCGGTTTTTCACGATCACATTTTTGGTCTTTAGTGAGATCTTCATTTGATTTGTTTTGAAGACGCTGAAGACACAGGCACTTGTTTCTTACTTTCAATCCATGGGAAGGTTGAATATCCTTCTATATTTATGGATAGTCGACCTTCCCATTGATAGAAACAAGTGACTGTGGTTGAAGACCGTTCATAATCTTCAGGCTTTCTCTTAGAAGACGTGACACCAAAGTGAAACAGACTCATTTTTTTCGAAAATGTTTAAATGATTAAATGATTTGTCACATGACTTCTCGCAACTATTTATAACCTTGTGTTTCCAAGAAATACAAGGTTGAAATAAATTTTATCACTCGTCAGCAAACACAGGGATGAAACATTTTTTGATCTCAATTTCAATAATAATATGGCTTAAAAATGACGATACAGATGGTTAAAAAGATCAGCAAAGATCATTTTTATTTCCTTTAAAATCAAAGGTCTGTCAGGCGTAGCTAGTAACCAAAACGAAAGTCTGATTGCAACAGTGGAAGGTCACGGACCTCGGACCACCGCTAATTTGAACCCGTCAGTATTCTACATGTTCTATACCATATTTCAAAAGAATGTCCTAGTTGTGGACAAGTACATGCACATAAGTAGCATTAACTTAATTTTTTTAGCACCCAAACCTGTTTTTGAGTAAATGGATATTTGATGAAAAGTATATAGATATGTGATATTATCTGCTTAAAGAAAGATTAGGTTAATTAACAGGAAACAGCAATACTCCCACAAAATTTAGCAATAACATTAGCAATAACACAATCCGACAAAAATTTTTCATCCATTTTCCACAGGAAAAAAGATATTTATTTTAAGGGCATTTTGCAGCCTTTGAAATTAAAAATGGATGGCATATTCTCTTTGTTGAAAAAGAAATGAAAAAAAATAGGGAATTTAAAGAATCTCTAAAACTGGGATATTTTTGTATCTAAACATAATTCATGTATATGTGCCTTTAGGAACACCTGCATCAGTCTTCTTATAAATCAGCCCCATGATTGTCAAGATCATTGTAACTTTGTGAAAAGAAACATTTATAGTACAGAGTTATACATGTGCATTCTATTTGTCAAACAATGTGCTAAATATAATTGTAACCTTGACCCTATTGAATTATTTTTAGACATTGGAAAATTCTATGGGAGCAGCAATGACAATGTCAACACCTCAAGATCAGGTAGATCAATTAATACAGCAAGTAGCAGAAGAGGAAGGCCTAGAAATGATAGACCAATTAAAAGACCTCAACCCCAGCACATCATCCATCAGTGCATCAAAAACAGCAGAACACCAGAAAGAAGATGATTTATCTCGAAGGTATCTTGAATAAATTCAGTAGAATTATTGTCCACTATTGATCGTTATTGACATTTAAGACTGTCTGTAAAGAGGGTGTGTGTTAAGATCCATTATTATATACAATGTAATAAATACAAGTAAATTTCATATGTCATACAAATAATGACAATAAATGTCTGTCACAGATGCTCACTCTTTATCAACGTTAAAATCTTTATGACCTGAAAAAAACAGCTCTTTTAAGTTTAAGATTAAGTGTATATGATATAACTTTTTCAATATTACACATCCTATCAACCCTTAAACAATGCAACCTCTCGAGCAAAGCTCGTGTGATAATATTGGTGTTTTGATCTGGATGTGATATTGAAAAGCCTTTAATATTCTATATTAATCTGGCTCAAAAATTGAAAAAGTATGAAAAATATTTCCGTTCTTTCTTTTCTTCATTGGTCGTTTTGTCCCACTTTTGTATCCACAACTGCTCATATTTTGTGAAATTTTCATAGAATCATACTCACATGATGTACTTTTGCACCTTTTATTTCATTTTATTATTTGAATGAGCTAGGGTTTTCTTGGGATGACATGCACAAGAATTTGTCATGGCGTTGTCAGTTTATTTTCGATTTATGAGTTTGAATGTCCCTCTGGTATCTTTCGCCCCTCTTTCATATCTGCTAACTGAATTACATATTAAATTATGTGTTCCTCCTTAACCTCTTTCCACAATTAAATAAACTCTCAGAAACTTAGCTATATAATACAATTGTGCACCTGCTATTTTTTTTTTTGTTGGTCAGAATTATATTTGTCCTCTTTGCTAATCATGGACATTTCACGGGTAGGTATCATTTTGTGAGCTTTGCATGTACTACCTCTAGTTGAATACTAGAATGCAACACTTGAAGCTTAAAATATCAGTTGCATTTACTGTTTACAAACTTAGGAATTTTTAAAAGAAAACATTAAAAATCTACAATAGACTGCTCTTTTTAATATCTTTGTATAAACCAATATAAACATACTGAATTTCATGCATTTGTTACACATTTCCTGTTTTACCTCCATCACAAATGGTACAGGTCAAGAATTTGGAAACCTTAAGATGTTTAAATAAACAAGGAACTAAATAGCCATAAGATGTAAAAAAAGAATATACAAAACCATGCCCTAATACTATTTCAATGATTTTTTAATTTTTTTTTCAGATTGCAGTCGTTAAGGAATTAATCATGGACTTTTTTACATAGTTTAGTCAACATACTATTTATACTGTTACACGAAGGATCACTGACAATAATCACATCTAATTACAATGTATTAATTTTATATACCTGTGTGTGATATAAATATTACACAGCCAAGTAACATGGCTGTATTTGATTGTGTGTTATCTTTTACTGACAAGAAAGATCTTACATTTATTTTGCATTGAATGCAAAAAAATTGTTGATGAGATGAAAGAAGATTGAAAATATCTGCTTTGTATTTGAATGAAAAAATTGAACTTTGAGTAATGTCGCAGATTTAGAGATGTCAATTTTATTTAAACAAAGTATTGGAGTATTAACCTTGGTTAATAAGTGATTCTCATACTCTTGATCACAGATATGTATATAAATGGAGATAAGTTCAGTTTTAAGAGATTTCATATTCTGAAACAATTTCCTCTGTGTAAAGTTTTTTATTATAAGTAAATGAACAGGTTACATCACAAAAGCAAAACTTTTTATAACAGGATAAAATATATTATAACATTTTATCATATTTGGAAAGAATAACACCAGTGCTAATTCATAGCCTCCTTGCTTTCTATGTTAAGTTCTGCAACTTCAAGCATTCATAGCTATTTTGTCTAAAGTTATAAAGTGATAGTTATTTTATGTCAAAACTATACCGGACTTGTGCTGAAAAAATCAACATCCCTTTAATTGCATATTAGAGCGCACTGGTTCAGGAAGTTGGGTAGTACAAAAATAGGTACTTCTGATCCGAGCAACAGGGCAAATATGCCCTCCTATCTTAATTTCATATATTTTTTTATTATTCAAAAGAAACTTTTAACAAGGGTTCTACAGTGATCCCAAGTCCTTAAGCTTTCATATGATACCAAAATTACCAACCTATTTAACTTATTGACAAAATTACAGCAATGCGTAGGAACTATTTTGTTTAAAATATGTACTACTTTCATGTATGTTCTTTCTGACTGGGCCGATTTGCAGTGCTATACCTTACATAGATGGATTGGGGTGGGAGTGGGAGGGAGCAAATTTTATTATTTTTTTCCTACTTTGCCATATTTGTGAAAAGTGCAAGCATATTTTAAAAAAAGCTGGAAATCAAATTTTATTTGCTCTTAGATTTGTGTGAACAAGTTGTGCAGATGGGGATGAGAATCTAGCAGGATTTGTTTTATTATGGTTAAACTTAACAAGGGGGATAGAGAAATTATCACTTTCATATTCAATTTGTGAGACTTTCAAACTATATTTGGGTATGCTGACATTCTCAGTTTATCATGTTTATAGTAGTATGCGAATATTTTAAGTTTTTAGGATTATTCTCTGTTCAATATAAAACAGCAAAAACTGATATGCCTTCAATTTACTTCTCATAGAATAATGATAATATTAAGAATTATCCTTTTTTCTGTTTCCACTTGAAATTTTTTTAGATATTATATATAGCAGTATGTTATGAAGGTATGTTTCAATCTATGTTTCATTTTAGTTTTTAAGACATTTTGCTACATTTGTTATTCTATTATCTACTGTTGATTTTTAATAATATATGAAAATAATAATTTCTAAAATAGTTTTGTTACATTTAATTTAATACCAGTCAATTGTTTTCTATTTATAGAGATATATGATACACTGGTATTATGCATATTCTACTGAGACAAGTAATTTTTGTCTCGCTTTGACGGAGTCAAAAAGCGAGACATAGGTATGCTGTTTCCAGTGACGGCGGCGTCAACAATGTATTAGTTTGTGATTAGGTCTAGTTTATGGTGAACCACCAGTGGTAGGTCAAATATATTTGGTATGCAGTTGTATTAGCATTGGCACATCTCATTACCATGGAGGTTATTTGGCTCCGCCCCCTCAGTCAAGGTCTATTGACTTTGAAACTTTTCATAGCTAACATGTATTAGTTTGTGATTACTGTGGATTCATTATTATTTGTTGGATACCAATTTTTCGTGGTTTTCGTTGGTACAGGTGAACCACGAATTCAAATGTTCAACGAATTACAAATGTTAATTTGGCTTTGTATGCAGAGATTTGCAAAACCACGAAATCAAATATCCACGAAAATGCAAGTGTTCCCCAATCCACGAAAATTGATACCCACGAAAATAAATGAATCCACAGCAGGTCAATTTATGGGGAACCACTAGTGGTAGGTTAATGATATATGGTATAAAGTTGTATAAGCATGGGCATATCTCATTTCCATGGAGAATATTTGGCTCCGCCCTCTGAGTCATGGTCTATAGACATTGAAAACTTTGCTAAGTTTACATGTATTAGTTTGTGATTAGGTCAGTTCAAGGGGAACCATTAGTGGTAGGCCAATGTTAATTGGTGTTCAGTTGTATAAGTATTAGCACATCTCATTTCCATGGAGAATATTTGGCCCCGCCCCCTCAGTCATGGTCTATTTACTTTGAAACTTTTGCTTAGTTTACATGTATTAGTTTGTGATTAGATCAGTTTAAGATGAACTGCTAATGTTAAGTAATTGATATTTGGTATGCAAATTTATTGGCAGTTGCAAGTATCGTTTCCATGGAGATTATATAGCCCCCACCCCTGATCATGGTTCATTGACTTTGAAACTTTTACATAGTTTACAAGGTAATGTTTGTGTTTAGGTATGTTTAAAGGGAACGACTTATAATAAGTCAATGGTATTTGGTATGCAGTTGTATTAGCATTGGCACATCTCATTCCATGGAGATTGTTTAGCCATGTACCTTCAGTCACGGTTCATCGACTTTGAATATTTGCATTACTTACATGTTAAAGTATTGCATTTTTAATTTCAACATTTGCATTATCAAAATTACAAAAAGGCGAGACATATCTCTGTGATAACAGTTTATTATTTTAGCTGACATGAAAAGTTAGAAGTTATGAACAAAATAAAATTTGCGGTATTTGTCCATGAGACAGCAATCCAATGATACAAACTAAAAGAAGTGTATAGAATATCATATGGTCTACAATAAAAGAAAAGTGTCAAAATGCAATATTTCAAATTCTATTGAGTCTAGAAAATGCATACATTTAATTTTCCTGAATATTCATGAAATATTTTCGACTGGATGTTAAGCTAACAACTATTAATCATTACTTTAACAGAGTCTATCAAAGTTATGCCAGTAATTTAAAATGACAAAAAGGATGAAAAATTCAGATATAACTAGAGAAAACCACTGACTAGTTAGTTACATTTTCTCATTAGGATGATTTTCATCTAGAAATGCAGAAAGTTCCCATATTTGTTGAGTACCAGAGCATCTGTCTGCCTGTTGGTTGAGTTGGTGTTAAATAGTTTTTGTCTGGTCTGTGACATCTAGATGCTATTACAGCAGTGTTTGTGTAAACTATTTGCATGAAGCTTTATATTTCAGAAGGGAGAAGGTCTGGATACATCATGCTTGTATACAGATGCCTTATATATGTACATGATGTACAATCACTTCTGAAATATGAATATGCCCAATTGACCTAATTTTCATGGGTCAGCAGCTGCTTAAAAAACTCTGAAGTTTATTTTATCACATGATTTTTATTTGGTATATGGAATCATTGCAAGGTATACAGGGTAAACCATGGATCCCTGATCAATGTTAACTTTTCGTGGTGAGGTCCATTGTCACATACTGTAAGCAATAGGTCAATTATATGTTATCTTGATGTAGAAAGATTGTAAGGTGTACATTTTCTCATATACTATAACCTTTTTACTCCCCTCGCAAAGGAAAGGGATATGCTGGTTTACTTATACTGTGTCTGTCTGTCTATTCCATGAAACTGTCGTCTTATTTTTCAAAGGAACTACAAATTATTCTTCTTGGAAGCATGCTATACTGTATGATGTGTTTTCACATTCATCAGTCATACAATTCTTATTTATTGAATACTAGTACTTATATATTCTAACACATAATGGCCATGTATGTAATTTTTGTTGCATTCTTCTCAGGATCAAGGGGCCTTGGTGGCCGAGTGGTCTAAGTAGTCCAACTACTGTACCACTAGCCAGTCAACACTGAGGTTGTGAGTTTGAATCCTGCACAGGGCAGGTGCACTGAACTCCAATCTTAATTTACTAGGATTGTCAGTTTTCCTACCAAAGATCGGTGGTTCTCTCCGGGCACTCCAGCTTCCTCCACCAATAAAAACTGAAAGCCACGAAATAGCACAATAGTGTTGAAAGTGGCGTTAAACACCAATCAATCAATCAATCTCAGGAAAAACTAATCAGAGCTCCCTTAAATTTTGTGTCAAGCTCTTTATGAGCAAAACTATACATTGTATTTTCAAAAAAACGTTGAACCAATATTTTAATGTTACTTATCATGATATCCTTGATGTGGGATTGCTACTTACAAGCAAAATATTCATTAAAGATTTCATAACGGCAAGGCTAAAGTCATCTCTTCAAACACTTTATAGCCACCATCTGAATTTGACTGACAATCATTATTAACTATCTTTGTCATAGTTGACCTTGAATTAGTTCAATTGTAGAAGACATAATCACCTCCTTCTTTCACATTTAATTAATGAAATTATAGAGTTTGATTTTTGTTAAGATTTTTATATGTCACAAGTTACAGAACAGGTCCCCAGGTATCCTGGCAAAACAATCTATCCTTATATAGCACCCTAAGTTTTTGGTTGGTTTTCATAATTCCCCCTTTATTGTTTTGAGGTGATTTTGTTTGACTTTCATCAAAGATTTTATTCAGTTTGCATACACTGTTTGAAAACAATGCTGGGATCCGTCTCAATGCTTTCTACGCTGTCATTAACGTACAGTTGATCATGAGGTTGGGCCAGGATCCAAGGCTAAATGAAAATATGTGGCAAGGCAAAAGTTCATGTGAGATTTCCTGTAATGCATCACGTTATTTGGGGGAAAGGAAAATTTCACTTTCAGACATAAGTCATGATTCTTTAAGTTTATAAATCATAATTTCATGACCATATATTTGTATTTTTAGACAGTTCTTAAATATATCTGTTAATATAAAACAACAGATACCAGTCATTGTAAAAAAACACAATATTGGCACCTAAACTGATTGCAATTTCTAATTGTCTGTATCATCATCGCCTGTATATGCTGTCTACAGTCTTCACTACAACTACTTCAAAATAAATATTTTTAATATGAAACTTATATTTAATGAATAACATGAGTTTGATTTGAATGCCCAAGAAATTAAGTAGTCAAAGAGTTCCTTTGTTGTAAATTAAATGATTTGTTTCATATCAATCTTCAAACACTGTGCTACGTCATTAACAGTTGAACATAAGGGAGGTGGTTTAAACTTGATAGAGTGTCACATTTGGTGAATTTCAACAACAAAAAACTTCTTTAAAGCAAAAATGAGTTTTAAGTGACCTACTGAACAAGCATTTTTATGTTTTCATCATTTTAAATACTAAGTAGTTGCCTCAAGGTTTTTATGCCCAACCTACAAAAGTAGAGGGGCATTATGTTTTTCGGTCTGTGCATCCGTTCTTTTGTC